TAGTTCATCATTGGCTGATAGAAATAGCTTAGTTCACCATTGGCTGATGTAGTAGCTTAGTTCATCATTGACTGATGTAATAGCTTAGTTCATCATTGGCTGATGTTAGCTTAGTTCATCATTGGCTGATGTAGTAGCCTAGTTCATCATTGATGTTTGTACATATTAAGTGCACTAGATCATTGTCCATTGAACCAGCTAAAGCAGGACAATATCTTTGTTTTCAAGCTTTTTCGGATCCGTTTAATGCGTAGTGACATAATGAAGGGGTTGACCAAAGACTGCAGATTAATAAGAGTTAGCACAATATGCTGAGCAATGTACTTGAATTCTTGAGTTAATTCTATTCCTCTGACGACTTGGGTGATATTGCTAATGAGGCTAGGAATATAGAGTAGGACTGTCGCGAGTACTAGAATACTCAACGTAATTCCTCTCTTGAATTCCTGAAATTGSCGCTTTAGCTCTTCTTCTTGTTCTTGTTGTGTCTGCTGAGTTGCAGCTATGGGTTTAGTGGCGTTCTTTCTTTTAAGTGCTGTGATAGTTACTTTAACTGTACAGTACAGAGTCACAGCAATACTCCCAAGAAGGTATCTAAACGGTGGTACCTTTTTCAATGTTTTTTGTTCATTCAAAAGGGCTACAAGTATGACCATCATTAAAGGTAAAGTTACACATATAGCCGCTGCTATTCGCTTTACCATCCAGGTTGTCACGTGTCTACGGTGCCAAATAGGGAGTTGTATAGCGAGATATCGTTCCACGCTTGCCATCATCAAGGTACATAAGCTCAATCCATTGCAAACTCCAATCGTTAGCACGTTCAGGGTAAATATACACATTCCGCACTCTTTTAGTAAACAAATGAAAAACCAGCAGTACAGCGGTTCTRCAACTAACCCGACTAGAAGATCACCCACAGCTAGGGCCCCCAGCAAAATGTTATAACTCTTGGATCGCAGCTGTTGATCACCAAACACYGCACAAATGATCAAGGCGTTGGAAACTGCAGTTATTGGAGCGGCAATTCCGTTGACATAGGCAAGAACGGTCCAAAGTGGAACCACAGAATCGGGCAAATCWGTGATGTTGTAGTGTTCGAAGTCTGGAGATATCACACAAGTCGATGTGATGTTAGACGTAGCCATGGCAAATGCTAGGAAGCAACTGAGGTCTGTGTGYGGCTGTTCTTCGTTTTGTGGACATCATAGTTCCTGCTTTTTGTCTCCGTTTTATTCAAAAGTAGTTGAATGGTGTAGATTTACTATTGATATATTGATAGAACAGTTGATAAAACGGACAAAATCTGACAAAACGTTTAAAATTCGCTTTTCATTAACAATAAACAAGCCTTTTAAAACTTATGTTCACTAATGGTTTGTTGGTCGACAAAGGAAAGCAAATTGATTTTATTGCCTGGCTTTGCGTTTTCTTTTAAAAACATTAACTAAGATGTTTATAATGAATGTCCTTTGATTTTCGGTTACATGTTAATTACTGGCATTTTGGAGTATAATTTTTCTTCATTTTATATATATTTAAATTGTGATACAAAAACGAAAAACTATCTTAATAATGAATTGGACAGTGTATAGTCAAAGAGCACGTCCCACTTTCCGATATTCCGGATTCTTAAAAGTTTAATTAACATCTTATTTTTGATGATTTGAACTACGAACTTCAACAAAGGATTTTCCATTAGTTTCTATTGCTCGTTCCCCCAACATGGACGTCGTCCTTTTGTTGTTTAAATCTCATGGGAATGGTTGAAAACGATCAATATGTTTAAAATACAGCTGTTCGCATTTGGACGTACGATTTGTCGTTAACACTTTCATTATCGTAAATTATATTTTTAAGACACTTATTAATGAATTGACTTAGTCCTAAATCTTACGCTGCGCACTCAGTTTGTGTCTATAAAAT